CCTCTTTTAGAATTCGAACGGAGTTACCTATTTCATTGCTAAAACTGGTTTTCAATAAACATTTTACAGATTTAAACACATATTATATCATATTTACAAGACATATATCATTTTCGCAGATGTTTTTGGCATACAGCTTTTCGAGCATATAGACTGAAAAGCCTTAAGTCAGCCCGAAATAAAAAATAGACGGATTTAAAGAGGGCATAGGATTACGTACATTTGCACACATAGTCAACATTTGTCGACTAATTGGCGGTTTTCTGTTACCTGAGCCTCAAATTCGGGGCGTTAAATCCAGATATAATGCTAAATGTGTGCGGGGCAACACTGGTAAGGCAGCACCGTTACTTGAGGGCAATGGTTGCCGCTGGAAACACCTGGGATTAACACAGTGCAAATAAATATGTATATTGCGAGTTTATACAGCTAACTACCCTTAGATAAGCCTATTTTTTTGTGTTTTACATAACATTCTGCAGCTATATATACAGACTTATACATATATCTACAAATATATGTATATACTATGTACACACTTTTCTGCACTTCATTTTAATAAAAACTCTACGAATTGTGGCTCAATTGTATATACATCGCTTCGATACGTATTTACATACATACATACACACATATATATCGCATCGTATAACTTACATGCTTCATTATATGTACTTAAGTATGTGTGCACATCCGTGCTCTGAGCATAGATCAAAGCAAAAATGCTTGCTAAAGTATGTACATATGTATGTATGTATGTATGTGCACACACACTCAAACTGAAGGGCAATCCATGCCAACGCGCTTATATACCACAAAAACATGCACGCTTCTTTAATATATACATGTATGTATGTGCACACATGTATATAATTCTTTTTGTACATAAGCCAAGTACGGATACGCGTCGACAATGAGACAGCCGACAGCCCTTTCCTTTCACACAAATGTGTGTGGCGCGGCACGGCACGACAGCGCGAATCGAAGAAACAAAGAAACAGCAGGCACAGCAGAAGAGCCAAAAGGCAACGGCAACAGCAACAGCCACAGCCACAGCGGCAACGGCCAGACGTCGCCAGATATATACAACTCAGTGCAAAGCCAACTTCGAACGAGAACGGTTCGTTTAGCGGTCGCAAGCAGCGAATGAAAAATAGAAGCCGTCGCCGTTTCGAGTGCGCCGTATGAGAGTAGCAAAAGAGACCAACGCAAATAAAATCGACGTCGTCGCGCACGAGTGTAAGCGAGAGCGAGTGCGCAGCAGTTGCACGCCCAGTGAGAGTTAGTGTGCGAGCGAGACAGCATTGTGGCAGCCACTGAGCGCGCAGTAGGCAAAAAGGAAAACGTAAAATAGCCAGCAGAGGGCAGGCAGTTGGCCGCAGTCAATGTAAATAAGCGTTGCATATGTGTGTGTACGAGTAAATAAGACAGCGCAGGCAGCGCCGCAGCAGTGGTCTCATCAGTTGAACGCGAAACGTTGAGTCGAGCAGACGTGCGCGCATATTCGCCGCCAAATCATAAAGTGCTTTCAACTTCACAGCCAAAGTACATGGATTAAGTGTAACAAAATAACAATAATTAAATAAAAAATATTAATAAATATAGAAATTGTTAATAAAATAATTCTATCAAGAGCAACTAATTATCTGAAACGTTGCTTACTAGAAATTTCCTTTGTGTCTAGTGTGACAAATGCCGCAACAACAACGATAGCTGTGGCCAGCAAACAGCCTGCGCTTTATATACACGACGACGTCTATGTAAACGTCGCAGTCGCAGTCAACATCGCAGCGCGCGTCAGCAGCGTTTCTGAGTTCGCTTGTGTGTGTGTGTGCAGAAAACATAAGGCAAAGCATAATACACAATAAAGGTGCACACGAAAGCAAATAACCCAAAGTGACAGCCGCAGCAGCGCTCGAGTTTCTATGCTGTGCGAGTATTTGTGTGTGTGTGTGTGTTGAGAAATATCAAAAGCAACGAAGTAGCGGAGCAAAGTGTAAAGCAAGCAATAAAACGTAGCAGCGCAAACAGCTGAAGCTGAAGCAGAAGAAAGAAAGGCACAAGAAATATTGTTGAAAATCTAATTAAAACGAAACGCAGAATTTATATGTGTGTATATTTGTGAAAGTGTGCGTGGAAATATGCCAATAGCGGCACATTGGATTATTACAACTACAACAACAACAACAACAATAGCAACTGCTGCATCGCGTTTTGGATTACGTTTTATATTTGCAGCAGCAATTGGATAAAAACAACAACACAAAATGCCGCGCATTCAACTGGATTAGCAGTCAATTCTACACACAGGTAATGCAACACACACACAGACATAAGCGGAGTAAGAAGAAGACTGAGCAAGATTTGCAATTGCATGCTCTCGCTCTTTATCTCAACGCTGTTGTCATTTTACAACACTGCCGTTGCCGGCCTGTCAGCGCACAGCTGTTGCGCTGCGCCCCCCCCCCCCCCCCCCCAAATTAAATGAATCTCTCACACTCGCTCTCACTCCTCAAACAACAACAACAACAGCCCGAGCGCGCCCTCAGCCAGAAAAGAAGTCGCCGAAGATGGGGATGTAGCAGCACAATAGCAGCAACAGCTTTTTGTGACCCCCCAACACACACACACACGCACACATAATCTACATTTGCGATTGGCAAGCGCGAGCTGCGTGTGCATTACATACACAAATATGCTTTACATATTGCTGTTACATATTTACATAAATGTACTTAACATACTGTTGTTCAATTTTAAGTAATGCATGTTAAAATATATACAGAGTAAAATAAGCCTTTAAAACTGTAAACTTTATTTCGTCGCGCCGCTTTTTCCTGAATGGAAAGTAGTGCGTGTGCTTGTATTTGTGTATATGTATGTGTGCGTATGTCTGTATATGTGTGCGTGTGCTTGAAAGAGAAGATAAAGCCTGGCTCACTGTCGCATTCACCCTACCGTTGCATTTCTCATGCGCTGCCTTTTGCGCAGCGCAACGCTGCAGTCGGCTAGGCCGCGCTTTGTTCTCAACGTTAACTCACGTGAAATTCCGCTGCTTGCTTATTTTTATTTTTTATATTTTTTTTTTCTTTATTATCCTTTTCATGTTTCGTACTCGCAGTGGGTTTTTTTTTTTCAGCCTGAGCTGATTTTGCTGGGCATGGGCAAGGGTTAAACTTGGGTAGGCTGTGCGTGTGCGTGTGTGTGTGTGTGTGTGTGTGTGTGTGTGTGTGTGTGTGTGTACACACTTAAATTTTATGTAAAAAGGATTTTAAAGCCACGCTCGTCCCTGAATACATTTCATATTCATTCATATTTACATTTTCTGTGTGTCTGTGTGTGTCTGTGTGTGTGTGTGTGTGTGTGTGTGTGTGTGTGTGTGTGAGAGAGAGAGAGTTCTTGTTGGTCTGAAAAGTTTTGTGCAACTTTTTACTGGCGCGCGTTGATGCAAAAACAACTTGAAATTATTTTGAAATACGTTTAGCATGAAGCACAGCATTTCGCACTCGCATTTGTTTGAGTTCAATTTAAGCCATTTTCATTTGGCCAGGCGTACATAACCCAACTTATCTGTCTGTTAAGCAGACACCCTCCGCTCCCCGCACCCATAGGTGGCGTGTTTGTGTGTGTGTGTGTGTGACCAGTGTGACCCTCTGCAGTCGTTAACATTCCCATGGCAACTCTAAAGGCAGTTTTGGGGCAGGGACAGGGGCAGGGGCAACAAGCATCCATTAGCCATCGACTGATTGCATATAAAAGCCTTCACACACACACATGTTCACATTTATATATACATATATATGTATTGTTTTATGTGCTGCGCCTGTGTCCTGGCCAAAAAGGAGCGCCAGCTTTTGGCCAGTGATTCAACAGTTTTGACTTTCAATTACGCAGTACACGGCAATCATGTGCGCTCCAGTGGGTAGGAAGGGGAGGGGGGGGGGGGGGCAGCTCCTAACATGAGGGTTATGAATTTAACATGAGCCTGCCGCTGCCAACATTGAGAATTTCTACTGTTTATGGTCCAGCCCGATATAAGTGTGCACTCTATAAGGTGCCCGCCCATATATTTTCTTATCATTATGCAGTTATTTGAGATTGACTAAAACAGCTGTTTCTCTTGGCTTCGCCTTTATCTTTTATTGTTTTAGTTCACACACACACACAAGCTTACAGAGGCCAAAGAATTTATGTAGAATTCTCTGGATGTGCGAGTGTGTGTGTGAGTGTGTGTGTTTCGCCCGAAATGGTTGGAGTGGAAACTGAAGATGTGTGTTGTTGGCAACTTGAAGCGCTTTTTATTGTGTTTACATATTGTATTTGAAGGATTGTTAGATGAGCAAAGAGCAATACAGTGAACGCTCGAAAAGAAGGAAAGTGGGGAAATTCAGAAGTAAATCTTAATGCAAAAGATTCATATTTCCGTATTTGACGTATAAAGGCTTTTATTTATTTATTTATTATTGTGTATTTGATTTAAACTTATTATTTTATTTTTATTGCTTTTTAATTATTGATTATTTTGCTTTTATTTATTATTTTATTTCTAATATATTATTTAATATATTTTTATTCTTACTTTATTTATTATTTATTTTTGAATATTTTATTTATTATTTTATTTTTATTCATTGTTTTATATTTATTGATTATTTTACATTTATTTATGGTTATATATATATTAGTTTATATATAATTTATTTCATTTTATATTTATTTATAATTTTACAATTTATGTTTATTTATTATTTTCGAGCTACATGAATTTAACTCTTTTTGCACGCAGTGAATACCCCTACTCGATGCTCTCTTTTTGCCATTCATGCATATGCATATGTGTGAGCGTGTGTGTGTGTGTGTGTGTGTGTGTGTCCATATTTGCATTTGTTATTTGTCGTTTGGGCTGCATATTAAATTTCTACATTTTTTTCTCCTTTACTTTTTGCAGAAACAAAAGCGAATTTAGCGCAACTTCTATTATTATTATTATTATTATTATGATGACGCCGGAGTCGAAAACAACAACAACAACAACAACAACGAAAATGGCGCATACACAAAAGCCAGCAGCTGCGTCGGCGTCGTCGTCGTCGTCGCAGCATTTGTCAACACTGGCATTGGCTGCGAATGGCCTGGCGTCTAAAGCGACGAAGGCGGCCAAAAGCTTTGTCAGCAATCCGAACAACAACAACAACAACAACAGCAAAAAGCATGCAATAAATATAACGGCTACAAGTGCTGATAAAATGCAAATGCAAAAGCAACAACAACAACAACAACAAAACAGTGTAGCAAACGGCATTAAAATAAAAAGTGAAAACAGAGCAAAAACAACAACAACAACAACAACAGCAACTAATGCATTCACACAATGCACAACAGCAGCAACTGCAGCAACAACAAACGCGCTGCTCGAGTGCAGCAACAGCAACAACAACAACAACAATAACAACAGCAGCAACAGCATTAAGAAAGAAGCAACACCTCCAGCAGCAACAACAACAGCAACAACAACAGCTGCTGTTGTGGAGGGTTCATCATTTGCGTCGTCATGCTCATCATCCTCCTCCTCGTCATCTTCGTCGGCCTGGTCCAACATTGAGGATGCCAACAGCAACGGCGGCGTCTCTGCGGACGAGGAGCACGCAAACGAAGAGGCGCCATCAGCTGCAACAGCAGCAACATCATCAACATCGATGATGACAACGCCACGCCCCGTGCTTCTAACGGCCGTCAATGCGCACATCATTTGCCACTTGTGCCAGGGTTATCTGATCAATGCGACGACCATCGTCGAATGTTTGCACTCGTGTAAGTACCCAGAAGCTACAACAGCTATAAATCCACTACCTCCCACCCCCTCCCCTCCACCGTCTCTCCCCCTCCCCTCCCCCTCCTCTTTGGCTCGCCCTAACCCCAATTCAAGCACCCTTCAGCCAGCGCCAATGAACCACTCGTGAATAGGCGCAGAGCTAATTAGAGTTAGTTGGTGGGCTATAAACGACTGGCCGGATACTCTGTACGTGTAAGTGAAATTAAATAGGTGCAGAAAATCGATATTTATCGATTGCCGACGAACTGAAGAAGTTATAGCTTGTTTGATATAAACATGATTTGTTTCTGTTTTTCAAACAACTAATATGTCAAATTGAAAGTCCACTTAGCTCCCATGGACTTTTATAGACCTAGTCTAGTAATCGATAGTTATCGATAGTCGATAAACTAAAGAAATAGATTTGTTATAAACATGATTCGTTTCTGCTTCTAAAAACCAATTGATATGACAAATTGAAAGCTTTTTTTTTTTTTAGCTCTTTTAAGCAAAGTAAATCTGGAATAGTAATCGATCGTTTTCGACAGTTATCGATAGTCGATGAACTGAAGAAGTGACAGCTTGTTTGATATGAACATGATTGATATGTGATTGCAAAACAATTTATAAGTCAAATTGAAAGCCCATTTAGCTTCAATAGTCTATTATAGAGCTAGTCTTGTAATCGATATTTATCGTTTTGAGCAACGTTATTAAAGAAAAGGAAAAACTTAGTCTTGTTTCTTTCTACTCCTTACACTCACTGCCAGAAAACCAATACAACCTCTTTTATGCGTTCTCAATGCTTACAGGGTATACTTACAACAAACTGACTAAAGCTAACCCCGCTTCTGGCGCTCTATCCAGTCTGAGCCTGCCAGATGCTGCACTGGCGATAAGTTAATGGGCAACATTAATGAGCCTGCCGCTTCTTTCTGCTCTTGGCTTTTGCATACATACCTCAAAGAACATCTTCTATATGGCCCCAAGTACTTGTCTCGAAGCGGAAAAAGCATTTCGGCTTGGAGTTAGATGTATGGCACATATGTCTGACTAAATAATTACAAATGGTTCTGCGAGAATACTCTCGGCTTAATAACAGCTGAACCATAAATCAGACAACTTTCAAGTGGAAAGCTCAAACCTGTCTCTCTTTGCCTCTGCCGCCCTTCTTCTTGGTTCAACTGTTGCAGTGGGAAAAGTGAAAAACCAGACAGGCTAAAAGAAGAAGACAACATTTTAGTTGTCTTTTGAAATTTTCGTTACTTCAATTTCCGGTTCGAGCGTTGAGCTACAGTTTTTCCTGCTCTTTTCACGCTTTTACAGCGACATTTTTCACTTTTGTTGAGCTTTTCATTTTTCTTCGAAAATGCAATTTTTATTGAAGGAATTATTCCAAGCGCAGTCAGCTAAAAGTCCGCTTTAAGTTCTTTATTGCTACCAGATAGACGGAAATTAAATGCAGCTAAGTTAAAACGTGCTCTCAATATTATTGCTCACCTTTAAAGCACTTGCCAACACTAGAAACATATGTTTTCTTCTTACTTGAGTCTTTTACTTCAAGCGCAGCCAACTTAATGCGTGCTGAATGCAATTAAGTGCTGCCAGATCGTTGACATTTAACTGGCGAGCTGTCAACATTATTGTTCGCATTTCAAGCACTTTCCAACACTATAAATTTATGATTTCTTCTTATTTAAGTCTTATGCCTAGCGCTACTTTCATTAAGCAATTATTCATATATTGCAGAGCTAATAACATTATTGCTCGCATTGCAGACACTTTCCAACACTATAAACTGCACTTTTCTTCTTATTCAAGTCTTTTAGTCAACTTAATGCAATTAAGTGCTGCCAGATCTTTGAGATTTATGTCATTTACTAATTAGAAAAAGTTCCTGCTTACAAACACACAAATTGGAGCGCCAATTCTTCTCTTCGCAATTGTGACATTCTAATCACATGCCGGTGCGGCCATTAAGCTCTGACTGCCAATCGAAATGCAGTTAGGCGTCCATTGTGCGCCACTCTGTCTGTCAATCAGCCAGCCAGCCAGTCAGTCAGTCAGTCAGTCAATCATTCAGTCAGTTAAATCTGACAAACCGAATGTGTCGATGGCATTTCATTTGCTCCCGAGGCTCATTTAAATCTGTTGTCCGAGCTGGACGCACACATCTCATGGCCACATGTTGCGAGAGAGGGTGCGGCGAGAGGGGATGCCTTGGTTAGAGTTGCCAACCCGTCTCGTTTGGCGTTAGTAACGCACTAAATGGATGCCAGCAACAGCTGTTGCCTTGTTTCTATTTTCATATATTTATTTTTTGTTGGTTTGCTGTTAACTTTGTTGCATTTGCAGACCTTGCCTTGTTGTAGTAGCAGCTACTCTCGAGGCCATTCGTCCTGGTGGCACCACCCAACCAGCTCGTCGCAATACTGCCAGTTTTCTCTACCCTCTCGCTCCCCTTCCTCTCTCGTCGTCTGACAGGCAGACAGACAAGCGTAACAGGCGCACCGAATGTGTTGCCTCCGTTGCCGCTGCCACTTAATGCCCCCGCCCCGAAGGCTGCCACGACTTGTGTCTGGGTCCAGTCTCAATCTCTGTCGCTGGCGCTGTATGTTCCTGTCGCTGGTTGACAGTTGTTGCGCTCCGTGGGACGACGGACAGCATCAGACACTGCCATTGACATTAAAGTCAAAACAAACTTTTTTCTCTTCTTTCTTTCTTGCGCTTTCAATACTCTGTTTACAAGTGAGGTGGGGGTGTATTAGTTTTCGCCGTAAGAGCTTAAAATTGCACGCATTAAAAGTGGGTTTCACATTTCCAAGAAAAACGAGGGTATTTAGAAAATGGTATATATACCCTAGTATCGCAGTTTTTCCAATTATTATTATTATTATACATATATTATTTTTATTTTCCAAATTTAGTCAATTCCAATTGAAGGGAATTTCTCATTTTTGCTTCTTTCTATTGCTTTTTATACTCTATTTCCTGGGTATAAATGGGGTGTATTAGCTTAGAGCTGCAATTTTAAATACTTTAACTACCTCTTCACTAACTACAGAGTATTTCCTAGTCGGGCACAAGCTGAATGCAAGCATTTAATTCGCTTTTTTCTGCTTATTTCTTCACTTTTTTGTAGCGATTTTGTGTGGTCCGCGTGGGTGGCACGTTTCAATTGAATGGCTGGATTTCTGGTTGCCTCCCTCCCACCCCCACTCTCTTCCTTTCTCTCTCTTTATATATATACACATATATATATATATCTGTATCGTCTACCCCATTTTGTGAACAGAGCGTGGGTTAAGCCCGGCTATGCGATTGCATTGGGGGCGCCTTATCCTTGTCCCTGGGATTGGCGTGCGTTATGCTTGGGGAATTATGTTCGTCAAGGTTTTACATAAAATTGTATAATTTCTAGGAGTCCACCCCGCAACCCCCTGGCCAATTTTTTTGCCCCATTTGTAACTGTTTTACTCATGCCCCTCTCACTCTCTCTCTCTCTCTCGATTGCAGTCTGCCACAGTTGTCTCATCAATCACCTGCGCAAGGAGCGCTATTGTCCTCGCTGCGAGATGGTCATCAACAATGCCAAGCCCAACATCAAGTAAGTAAAAGCTCCAAGAGAATGTTATAAATACATCTAGATATATATTTATAACTGGCTATATATATATGTTTATATATAGCCTAGCTACTGCAGACAGTTGGCGACTGTCGCTGACAACCGCAATTATATAATATTAGACGCAGAATACTTGAGAATGTCACTTGACAGGACGTGGGAAGGGTAGCAGCGGGGCTCCACCTGAAGTTGACGGCCCGCTGTTTGAGTCGTTTTAAAGAACAAACCCTTTAGAGAGTTCCATTGAATTCAATTGTTTAGCGGAGATCTAGACAAAGTCAGGCGCAACAATATAACAAATCTCTAAGAGCTTAAATAAAAATAATCAATTAAATAGATACATAAATCAATTGATAAATAAATAAAAATAATAATGAACAAACGCTTTTAAAGTTGTAAAAGTAATAATGGAAATCACATAACTTACAATTCAAATTTTTCAAACAGAATTTTGCAACACTGCTTTACGCTTGGGCCCAACTGTTTCAATTCCACGCGTTCCAAGTGTTTCATTCTCCAAATACACGATAAACAAATGCGCCTGAAATGAATAAAACGCGTGTTTAAAACTAACATGTTTTAAATATTGTTAAATGCGCTAAAACTTATAAAATTTTAAATATTTAAAGCTTTAAATCTTTATATGTATATATGACATGTTAACTATTTGGGAATTTTGTAGACAAAAAAGAGAATCTCAAATATCCTCTTTTTTTAACAAGCCTTTTACAAGTCTAAAGCCCTAAAAATTGTCTCAGGCGCTTTGCGAGTTGGAACACGAAATAGCTTTGCGCTTTTTTTATTTTTTGTCTTTTTGTCTCAATTTCGGTGCTGCACAACGACAAAAAAATCAAGTAGGAAGCAGCAGAAGGAACAACGAAAAAAAACGAACAGAGGGCAGCACTCGCGGGCAACGAAGGCGGGTTGGGTTGGGAGGAAACAGGAACTCGTCTGTGCCTTTTGGCTTTTGTGAACTGTTTCCAGCTGCTGCTGCTGCTGTTGTTGGATGTTGTGAATGTGTTTCTCCAGTTGCTCCATCAGTTCCACCAGTTGCCTCTAGCCGACGGCAGAAGACCCGCCCGTTAATTATCTGTGGCGTTTTTCGATTTGGTTTTCTTGGAAATGCGTTTGGCAAATGCTGCCACGTTTTTGGTTTTTGGCTTGCAGTTTATCAGTTGGGCAGCACTTTTTTTCGACTTTTTTTCGTATTGTTTTCTCATTTTGATGATGTCGCTTTCGGGGCGTAATACAATGAAAACATGGCCGACACCGGGCCACAATTTCAGTTTAGAGTTGCGTTCCTTTTTTTTTTGTCTATTTCTTTTGTTGGTTTTGTGTTTACCTTGTGGCCAAAGAAAATAGCTAATAAAACAAAAATAAATAGACTCCTCGCTTTTGTTTTGCTTTGCGAGGGACTTCTCCTGCTTTTTTTTCTCTCCTTTTTTTGTGGGTTAAACAATAAAGTTTTGCAATAAATTTAATTGGAGACTCGAGACCACGTACAAAAACCACTTGTCTACCCGCTTATGCACAGATAGCCCGACATTTATATATATATATACTATATGGTATATATAGAGTTGGCTATTTGGTGGCTCTTTCTGCTGACTTCGCACCATTCGCTCGGTTGGTGCTGCCCATCTAAAGGCAAAAGGTTCATTCAATCCAGAGAGTTGCCCACCTCTTCCCCCTCTCTCTATCTGGCTCGACTCTGGCTATCTTTTGAGTTTGTGTATTCATTATCTTTTTGTATGCAGCAACGAGATTACAACCTGACTCCCAGTCGGAACAACAACAGCAACAGCAACAACAAGGCGCACAATTTGTATAAGCCGAGTGGGTAGCTTGGTTAATGGGCGGGGTGGCAACACTGGCAGCGGGTGGTTTTTCGTGTCTGCAGCAAAAAACATTTGCTCGCATTATTAAAGCTGTACCTTAAATTGATTCGCTCGTCACGAACGTGTTTTCCATTAGAAACGTGCGTAGCCAGACGAGAAAGAGACGGCAATAGTCGGCTGAGAGTGTGACGGGGGCAAGTGCAAATATTTGGCAGGCATCAAATAAAGTTAGACAAAAAAAAAAATAAGAAGCGGCAAGTTTTCGACAGTAGTAAAGTTCAATTCAAGGTGGATACCACCAGCAGGCAGTAGAACCCCCCTTCCCCCGCCCCTGCCCCTGCCACTCTTCAATCCCTTGCAACATTCGCAATTGATGCCCCAAAGTTGGCCCAAACCACATTTACCACAGCGTAAGTTCTGTGGTTACAGCCGAAAATATACACCCCGCCAACCCCAACATTCTCGCAAAGTTTAGAGTTGTGGGCGGCTGTGGGCGTGGCAGCGTGCTTGTAACCAAACTAGAATTTCAATCAACTTGCGAAACTTCAATTCCCATGCATGTGACATCTATGTGGCTTACCCCAAAAGCCTGTTGCCAACATTCGGCGAATGACACGTCATTCGATGCGTGGCATCTGATGCTACCTAACCTCAATTTCTGTGCACTTAACCTACAATCAAATTGCTATACGAACTTGTGTCCGAGCGCTGTCAATGTGCGTTTAGGACACACACGCTTTCTGTTTGCGAAACAAATATGAATGACAGTTCATTCGGCTAGTGGAATGCGTTTTAAACATGCACGCATAACCTCAATTTTTTGGGGTTTATTTTTAGTTTTTGCCCATTTTCTATGTCATATAGAGACGTGTCTGTGTATTCAGTGAATGATTGTATCATTCGGGCTGGGAAATGCAACTTTTATTGTGTTTTTTAAAGCTGCATTTTTGTCTGTAGGTACTTCTAAGCTGAATGACACATCATTCGGACTAAGTTTACATAACCTCACACTTTCCTATATCCCTTAAACTTAGTTTGATATGTTCTATTGTTGTTTTGTCATTGGGCATTAGAGACTCGCATGAGGAATATTTTCATTCGAGCAGTGGACATAACCTCAATCCTGACCATAACCTCATTCTTTCACATAACCTCAATCCTGCACATAACCTCATTCTTTCTCATAACCTCATTCATTCACATAACCTCATTCATTCGCATAATCTCTTTCAGATAATCTCTTTGTTTAGGCTTTCTGCCAGCCTGCCTTTTCACAAAAATGTGAATTTCTATAACAAATATGATCTTTTATGATGTATTTTCAACCCGAGCTTGGTTATAATTAGTTAATTAGCATAAACTTGTCATGTTTCTACCTGCTTTCGCTCTGTATAAAATGTGTGGGGTTTATTTTTTGTATATAAAAACCCGCTGGCATGTAAATGATCCTACCTAGTTCCGATTTTTTTTTTTAATTTTCATATATTTTGGCTCATGGCAAGGACCCTCGCGAGACAATTGCCATCCCTCACAGGAGCTGAACTACCCCTAACTAAGCGCCGCAATTCCCTTTTCCCTTTCTTCTGGTCTGTTCAATTGTTCGATTCCTTAGACAAAAACCGTTTTGATTGAAGGCGAGCGCGCCTGAGTTTTCTATGAAATGCGACTTAATGCGAGTTCCTGTGCGCCAGTCAGCCAGGAGAAACAGCAACAACAACAACAACGACAACTGCTTTGTGGCAGCAGCAGCGCATGCCACACAGTTGCTGTCCCTGCCACGACTTTTGGCGGCGTTTGTTGCGTGCCATGGCAGCAATTGCATCTGCCGTCTAATTTGTACTATTCTCTCCCTCCCTCCCTCTCTCTCTCTCTCTCTCTCTTTTACTTCCTTCGCGCCAGGGAAGTTGCTTCTCTACGCGCTGCTGACTTCTTATTTACGACACATTTTCCCGCTTTCCATCAACATCAACTAAGCGCTGCAGCCGTCTTCTTTGATCCCCGGCACCCTGTTAGCTCTGTCTCACTCGCACCCTACTTCGCTCCCTTTCACTCTCTTTGTGTTTTCCATTTGACTGCGCACACATGTTGTCGTACCTATCTTAAAGGAAGGCAGCCGCATTGTGCAACACCTCAACTAATGCCCCCCTCTCTCTCTCTTCCTCTCTCTTTGCAGATCTGATACCACATTGCAGGCGATTGTCTACAAGCTCGTGCCGGGCCTCTATGAACGGGAGCTAATGCGTAAGCGCGCCTTCTACAAGGATCGTCCACAGGAGGCGGCGCTGGCCACGCCCGAACAGCGGGGCGATGATACCGAACATTTGATATTCGGTCCCTCCGATGATATGTCCCTGTCGCTGGAATATGCCGAACTAGGGTAAGTTGCTAGCCAAACTAATCGATTTATCGATTGTAATAGATAAATATTCAAAATTAAGGTTGCCAGATTAAGCAAAGATAATTTATGTTTGGGTGCAATTTAGGCAAATTATTGAATGATTGTAAATTTAGTTGGGTTTATAGACATTCAGAAGGGTATTTAGGAAAAAATCTGCCCAATCTGGCAATTGTATGCATAAGATCAATAAGCGACCTGCTCTTTGAACTACATAAAAAACTTAAATTTTAGATCTGGCAACCCTTTGCCTTTTGTTTGATGAAGGAGTTCTTTTGTCACCATCTAATTCCCCGCTTTTTCCGCTCACTCTCTTTTCACCCCATTTAGCGAATTGAATGCCGAATCCGCCGTGGAATTCGGGGATACGCTACGCCCGCGCTATCTGCAATGCCCGGCCATGTGCCGGGTGAGTCATCTGAAGAAGTTCGTCTACGACAAGTACGAGATCGACGCGCAGCACTTCAGCATCGACATCATGTACAAGGTGAAGACCATTGTGCTGCAGGACTACTACACGCTCATGGACATCGCCTACATATACACGTGGAAGCGGGACGCGCCGATGCGTTTCTATTTCCGTGTCTACGAATCGCCGCAGCCGCTGATGAAGCCGGCGTTACCCATGACGTTGCCCGTCAAGCCGCAGGTGAAACAGGAGCTGGCCACACCAGTTGTCACGCCCACTTCTTCGCCCCCGGCTCCACCGGCACTCGTCAAGTCTCCCTCACCCTCACCACCAGCCGCCGCAGCAGTTGCAGCAGCAGCAACGGCTCAGCCGCCCGCCCGCATCAAGCTGGAGCAGCCGCAGGATGAGTTCCGCATTGCGCCCAAATTGGCCTCGCCAACGGAGCAATCTCTGAAGCTCTTCATCAATCGCAATCAGCTGGAGAAGCAGGAGAAATTGCCGCACGAGCGACATCATCATCATCATCATCATTCGCCAAAAGCGGCCAAGAGCTCGCCGACCACGCCCACCGCCAACACGAAGTTTCCGCCCACCGGCAACTACAACAAGGAGGAGCCGAACATAAAGCTAAAGATCGATCTGTCCAAGCAGAACAGCGTGACAATCATCAATATGTCCGATCCGGAACGCAAGGAGATTGTGAAGCCGTTGAAACCGGAGAAAGAATCGCGCTCCAAGAGCAAAAAGGACAAGGATGGTAGCCCCAAATCCTCATCGAGCAGCAGTTCCTCCTCCTCATCCTCTTCGTCCTCCTCCAGCGAGCGCAAACGCAAGAGCCCCTCCCCGCTGACTGTGCCCCCGCTGACCATTCGCACGGAGCGCATCTTGAGTCCAAACGGTGTGAGCACCGTGCTCAGTCCGCGCGTGACCAGCGGCGCCTGCCTGGAGGATCCCAAGTCCGAGTTTCTCAAATCTTTTGCACTGACGCCCATCAAGGTGAAGCTGGAATCGCCGGAGAAGCCGAGCAGCAATGCAGCGCCGCCAGCAGCAGCCCCGCCTGCAGCCAAGTCCAAGGCACATCTGGACGACAGCCTGCTGATGAAGCCGCCCAGCGCGATGCCGCCCAAGTCGATAGCCTCGTCTAAGCGCAAGAGCAAGGAGCCCGTCAAGGCCGTGTCCAAGAAGCCGAAACTCTCGCCGCCGCTGCCGCGCGAGGACTTCAAGATACGTCTGCCCGCGCCCAACAGCTGCCCCTCGCCGCCACCGCCGACGCCGGCGGTGCCTGTCGAGAAGCCACTGATGCCGCCGCCGCCCGCCAAGCCGCTGCCCATGCCAGCCGCACGCAAGGCACAGCTGCCGCCCAGCCCCTACCCGACGCACGCACCGCTGCCGCCGCATCATCAGGGCATGCAGATGGCCGCGCCCGGCAATCGGACGCCCATTGCCAAACGCTATCAGCCTATATTGCCGAAGGCGGCGCGTCCTAATCCGTTCGCCAACATACCCAGCGATGTGAATCGTCTGCTCAAGGATGTTGGCACCGAGATCAAGTCGATTGCCAGCCAGGCCAAGACGCACGTCTACGGGCCCAAGATGCCGGAGCACAAGATGGGACCGCCGAGTGCTATGCACAAGCCCAACAACAGCTCGAACAACAACAACAACAACTCGAACTCGAACAACAACAAATCGAACTACTTGAATTTGGCTTTGTTCAATGCCAGCAAGTCGAAGGGCAAGGAGGCGCCGCCGGGCTGCCGCACGCCCATGTACACGCCCAATTCGCCCATATATTCGCCCAGTTCGCCGCAATATGTGTCCAACTATAATATACCCACCATGCCCACCTACAAATACACGCCCAAACCAACAACAACCAACAACAGCAACAACAACAACAACTCGACGACAGCAACAACAAATGCGAGCAACTATTTGCAGAGCATGTTAAATGGAACCGGATCTGGAGGAGCGGGCGGCGGCGGTCTGTTCCCCACGCCGCCAACCAAAACGGATCAGAACACCAATCCGGCCGCCGAGGATGCGCCCGAGAAGCAACAGGTCAAGGTCAAGTCTCTGCTGAATTCATGCAACATCAATATACCCTCCTCGCTGTCGATAACCATATCGCGCGACAATGGAGACGCCTCCTCGCCGAGCAGCGGCGGCCATGCCAAGCACAAGAGTCCGGTCAACAATTATATCGAAATTGTCAAGCTGCCCGATCAGCCGGCGGCTTCGGCCGAGCAGAAGGAACCAGCAGCAGCAGCTGCCAAGGCGACGGCGACGCCTCAGCCGCCCGTCAAGCTGCCCGCGCCGCCCAGCAAGACGATACCCTCGCCGCAGCATTTGTTGGCGCGCCTGACGCCGCCCGCTGCCGCCACCGCAGCAGCTGTGCCGGCCAAGACCTCGCCCAAGGCAACGCCCACGGCCAAGCCCGTGCTGACGCCCCAGCAATCGGATAAGAAGACGCCCAGCCCGGAGAAGCGCGCCGCCAGCCAGGGCAGCCATTCGCCCAACTCCAGCGAGAACAAATCACCCAAATCCGCGCAAGCAGCGTCTGCTGCTGCCGGCGCCTCTGGCTGTGCCACGTCCAATGGCGGCGAGTCGGCAGCCAAAAAGTTTCGACCCATTCTGCCGCGTCAGAATGCCACAAACGGAGGCGCAACGGAGCCCAAGCTGCTGCCGCAGCAACCCGTTGGCTACAACTTTGCCGCCAATTTGGCCAACAGCAAAAAGGTGCCCGCCAGCAAAAAGTCACCCGGCGCCGGAGTAGGCGGAGGCGCAGGCGGCGGCACGCCAGCCAAGCTCTCGCATGCCAATGGCAGCCAAGCGCTGTGCAAGGCCAGCGTCAAACATAAACAGGCAATGCCGACGACGCCGGCAGCTCTCGGCTCCAGCTTGAAGTTTATGGGTCCACCGACTGGCCATGCCCATCCGCATCTGCCCAATCCGAATGCGCCGCTGAGCATCGCGTCGAGCGCCAATCAGTTGGACTTGAGCAACTTCCTCAAGGACAATCTGCGCGCCCAGGCGGCCGCCCAGGTGGCCCAGGCGGCGGCTGCGGCCAATCAATCGAATCTCTTGTACAATTTTGCGCCCGCCATCTACAACTATCAGCAGGCCTATCTGATGGATCAGCTCTCCCGGATGCAGCGTGCCGGCAACGAGGTCTTCAACGATTACCTGCAAAAGCTGAAGAGTGCGGCCATTGCGGGGGGAGAGGGTGCAGCAGGCGAGCATAGACAGCCCATAATGCCCATGCTGCCCACCGTAACGCTGCCAACGGCCGCCAGTCAACCGATTGCGGCCAGTCCCAAGACCTCGCCACATGCTGCCGCACACAAACTGACGCCGGCAGCGACGCCGACGCCGACGCTGGCCAAGAGCAACAGCAGCGGCGGCGGCGTCGGCAGCGGCAACGCCCGGCCGCAGGCAGCGGCAACCAGCAACAACGCGCTGGCCAAAAGCAAGTGAAATCGTCAACCATCCAAAAACAACCCCCCACTCGGAACAAACCCCTATCACGCCCCACAACAGCTCGTCTAACCCTCTGGGGTAAAGGTGTGCACTAATTAATATTTAAAGAGTTTACTTTTTGTTTTTAGTTTTTAATAAGCTGTTGTTATACGAGTTTTTTTTCCATTTCGTTTGACTCTGTGTACATAGAAGAACTGGCATTAAAGAGCTGTAAATATTATACAATAATATATATAACTACGATTAACATAAATATACGATTTACATTGTAAACATTCAGATAAGCTAAGCCACAGATCGATTCAGAATCAATATAAACATACGACAGCTGTTCGTATCTAATATTAACTATATGCATATTTATTTAAAGCGAACTTTGACTTGATTCCAGGCAAACACGGACTAGCCATAAAAAACGAAAGAGACAGCTTTCAGCTTGTATAATTGTAAAAGCTCAAGCACATTAAAAGCTCACTAAACAGAGCTTATGGCTTGATTAATTGTAAATGATTAAAGCTCAAGAGCTTTGAGAACAAATGAAAGCTTTCATGCCTGTAAATATTTAATACATTACAAGCTCAGTTCAAGCTGTTGACAAAACAACTGAAAGCTTTTGAAGTTATTTAAAAAGCAACAAAAAAAAAATAAAGCTCACTTAAAGCTCAAGCTGAGAGGCGAAGCTTTGCAGACATTTACCACTTAATACATTTTATAAAATTAAGCAAAAAGCTGAGAAGCAGAGCTTTAAGTGCAGTCGCAAGCTTTCAGCGTGATTACTCGCACACTTAAAGCCTAATTTATACGCAAAGTAACTTCAGATAAACAAAATTAAAGCTCACCCTGATAATTAGAGCTTTTCAAACATTTACAGCTGAAGAAATTGTATAAAATTAAGCACACTTAAAGCTGCCAAGAGCTCAAAAGCGGAGCTTTAAGCGCAGCTGAAAGCTTTCCAAACTTTCGTTTAGAGCCATTTTGATGTCTAGTTTTAAGTGCAAACGGCCAAGTTGAAGTATAAAAAACTAAACACGCAACAAATCGTTTCACAAATTGTAAATAAGCACACAGAAGATTTTAAAATCCAAAACATATTCCATAAACACAAGCTAATCGATAATAAAAACAAACCTATTTATACGAGAATCAAAATATACACAAAAAAAAAAAAACTGAAATACTTTTCTCTGGTCAAATTGAGAGTTAATGCTAATCAGCTGGCAGCTGTCTCCCTCTCTCCCTCTCCCTCTCTCTCTCTCTCGCTCGGGTCACAAGGTCAATGCGTTGCGTGAAGGTCGTTAAATTCGTGGCTGGCCTGGTCCGGACCGTGTCCGTGTCCCTTTTCTAATCCCCCCGCTGTTAGAGCTCGTCCTTAAAATGAAAAATGTCGAAGACAAAGAAAATAAAAGATTACGACCGAGAGAGAGAGAGAGAGAGACGTCGATGATGTCTCTGCTCGTGTCTCGGCTGGCAACTTTTCGTTAAGAAAATGGCAAATGGAAACCGAAACTCGTACGCATTGTTATTGTTTATCTTTTGCCTCGTTTTTGGCATGTTTCCGATTTCGAAAATTGGCAATTTTCAAGGAATGTGTCCCAGCAGACAGCCGCAGGACAACGGCCCAGGACGAGACGTCGATACGTCTAATGAATGCGCGCGACAAGGCAACAAGGGTAGAGCCCATATATCTCCGCCGAGGTGTCGTGCTTTAAGGGTGGATTAGGTGCGAATTGGCTTAGCCCGGCGCTGAAAATCATAAGATTTATGTGCGACAAACAAAAAAATAAGAGGCCGAAAGATGCCCTGTAAATGGCTAGCAATAGGTGTTGCTAGTTTAGTTAGCTGAGCTACTCAAATATTCGTGCATATTTCAGATTTTAAGACTGTGTCTGAAACAAGGAAAAAGTTTTTTTTATCTTGATTTTTGACTGATTATTTCTGCAGGATGTGTTTTATATAGTAGTTCGATGTTCATAAGCTCTTAAGTGCTTGGAGCTTAAAGAAGTTGATGTCCTTGCTGCAAGTGTGAGTAGGAGAAAGGAGAAAGGAGAAAGCAAGCTTATATGCGGCACATCAAAGACTAAAGCTAATATATTTGGGTTAAAGGAATATTTTGCCAAATAACAACTTATTTTTCGACCGATTCTTTCTATAGTATTATACTATAGATACTTTGCTCTAGATATATTGCGAAACCAAAAAGTTTATATTAAAACAGTTTAATTCTTGATCGATCTTTCCTAGGTTATTGCGATACGATATTGATAAGATTTTGCATAAATATGAGAAGAAAAAGTTGTTCATACTAGAAACTACTTTGCGACCGATCGTTGCTATGGCAGCTATATGATATAGTGGACCGATCTCTACGACCTTTGACAAGTTTCAAGAAGTTGGCACTAAAACTGAGAGACTAGTTCGTATGGGAACTGACAGAGGTTCAGACGGACAAAGGCATAAACCCATGACTATAACAAAGACAATATAATTATATTGCCCTGATCTAGAATGTTTATACTATATGTTGTCGGAGAAGTCTTCTTCTATGCGTTACACACTTCATGATGCTCCCCTTAGAAGATTATACAAAATGATTTCAGCTTTGTATGAGAATTGATTGGGCATTAATCGTGCATTGAATGACAAGCTATATGATATAGTGGTACGATTTGTTGAGCGTGACAACGAGAAGAATCTACCTCAGGTTTTAGAGGAACACCTTCAAAAATGAGTATCTTTAGAAAGGAGCACGCCAGAGGAACGTGTCTATAATACAGAATATAAACAATATTAATACAGAATATGTCTCTCTCTTCCTCTCTCTCTCTCTCTCTCTCTCTCTCTCTCTCTCTCTCTCTCTCTCTCTCTCTCTCTTTCTCTCTCTCTCTCTCTCTCTCTCTCTCTGTATGCCTTAGAAATACGATAATTATCTTAGAAAACCCTTCTCTATGCATATTAAACTCTGATTTGTTGATTATACCCTAAACCCATTAAAAATGGGTATAAGGGTATATTGTATTTGTGCAAAATCCAAATGTATGTAACAGGCAGAAGGAAGCAACTCCGACCCCATAAAGTATATATATTCTTGATCGGCATAACTAGCTGAGTCGATCTAGCCATGTCCGTCTGTCTGTCCATCCGTCCGTCCGTCCGTATGTATGAGTCAAAGGATCTCAGAACCTATAAGAGCTAGAGACTTGCAATTTTAGATGTAGATTCTCCTAGTTCCCGCGCAGATTGAGTTTGTTTCCGATAGTCGATAACTTACTCCGTTTCCAAGCAATCGTTAAAAATCGATATCGATATCCTGTTGTTTGGGCAATTTTGGTAAATAATAAGAGCTAGAGTCACCAAACTTGACATATAGCTTCTAAAATAGAATATATATATGATATAGGATTTTTCTTCATGGTTTGCCCTCTAGATTAATGTGGCATTCAAATCTCGACACCGATTCTTTAGTCGAAATTCATGTCCAAATCTTACCCCAAGATTCGTATATAGACATGGGTCAAAAATTACCATCCTCATAACTCCGTCAAATCTCATCCGATTTTCACGAAGTTTGTCTTTTTCTTCATGGTTTCCCCTCTAGATTAATGTGGCATTCAAATCTCGACACCGATTTTTTGGTCGAAATTCATGTCCAAATCTTACCCCAAGATTCGTATATAGACATGGGTCAAAAATTACCACCCCCATATCTCGGTCAAATTTCATCCGATTTTCACGAAGTTTGGCTTTTTCTTCATGGTTTTCCCTCTAGATTAATCTGGCATTCAAATCTCGACACCGATTTTTTAGTCGAAATTCATGTCCAAATCTTACCCCAAGATTCGTATATAGACATGGGTCAAAAATTATCACCCCCATATCTCGGTCAAATCTCATCCGATTTTCACGAAGTTTGGCATTTTCTTCATGGTTTTCCCTCTAGATTAATGTGGCATTCAAATCTCGACACCGATTTTTTGGTCGAAATTCATGTCCAAATCTTACCCCAAGATTCGTATATAGACATGGGTCAAAAACTACCACCCCCATATCTCGGTCAAATCTCATCCGATTTTCACGAAGTTTGGCTTTTTCTTCATGGTTTTCCCTCTAGATTAATGTGGCATTCAAATCTCGACACCGATTTTTTAGTCGAAATTCATGTCCAAATCTTACCCCAAGATTCGTATATAGACATGGGTCAAAAATTACCACCCCCATATCTCGGTCAAATCTCATCCGATTTTCACGAAGTTTGGCATTTTCTTCATGGTTTGCCCTCTAGATTAATGTGGCATTCAAATCTCGACACCGATTCTTTAGTCGAAATTCATGTCCAAATCTTACCCCAAGATTCGTATATAGACATGGGTCAAAAATTACCATCCTCATAACTCCGTCAAATCTCATCCGATTTTCACGAAGTTTGTCTTTTTCTTCATGGTTTCCCCTCTAGATTAATGTGGCATTCAAATCTCGACACCGATTTTTTGGTCGAAATTCATGTCCAAATCTTACCCCAAGATTCGTATATAGACATGGGTCAAAAATTACCACCCCCATATCTCGGTCAAATTTCATCCGATTTTCACGAAGTTTGGCTTTTTCTTCATGGTTTTCCCTCTAGATTAATCTGGCATTCAAATCTCGACACCGATTTTTTAGTCGAAATTCATGTCCAAATCTTACCCCAAGATTCGTATATAGACATGGGTCAAAAATTATCACCCCCATATCTCGGTCAAATCTCATCCGATTTTCACGAAGTTTGGCATTTTCTTCATGGTTTTCCCTCTAGATTAATGTGGCATTCAAATCTCGACACCGATTTTTTGGTCGAAATTCATGTCCAAATCTTACCCCAAGATTCGTATATAGACATGGGTCAAAAACTACCACCCCCATATCTCGGTCAAATCTCATCCGATTTTCACGAAGTTTGGCTTTTTCTTCATGGTTTTCCCTCTAGATTAATGTGGCATTCAAATCTCGACACCGATTTTTTAGTCGAAATTCATGTCCAAATCTTACCCCAAGATTCGTATATAGACATGGGTCAAAAATTACCACCCCCATATCTCGGTCAAATCTCATCCGATTTTCACGAAGTTTGGCATTTTCTTCATGGTTTTCCCTCTAGATTAATGTGGCATTCAAATCTCGACACCGATTTTTTGGTCGAAATTCATGTCCAAATCTTACCCCAAGATTCGTATATAGACATGGGTCAAAAATTACCACCTCCATATCTCGGCCAAATCTCATCCGATTTTCCCGAAGTTGGGATTTTTCTTCGTGGTTTTCCCTCTAGATTAATGTGGCATTCAAATCTCGACACCGATTTTTTGGTCGAAATTCATGTCCAAATCTTACCCCAAGATTCGTATATAGACATGGGTCAAAAATTACCACCCCC